CTGGCCTGTAACTGGTCCTCCAATTTCGTCCTGTACGTCTTCTTCCCCTCTCTGATCTTTCTTCTCAGCCGAATCTGCACGGCCTTCAGCTCCTCTCTGTTTCTCGACATAAAAGCTCTCTTCTTCTCCTTCAGGAGGGCCTTTATGTCGGGATTAATCCATGGTTTGTTGTTGGAGAAACACCGCACAGTTCTGGTGGGTACGGTGTTCTCCTCACAGAAGTTTATGTAGTCCGTGATCGTGTCAGTGAGTGCATCAATGTCCTATTATTCATTAAATGTTAAAATAAATCTTGAAATAAATAAACAGTGAAGACCACATCAAAATAAATAAATGCATAAAGGAATGAGAAAATAATCGATGACATGAATTCATTTATTTAATTATGTACCGGTATATATTTCATTTTGGCCTGTTTGGTGCGCCATACTTGGAGTCCAGGTGGCATTCAGTTTGACCATGCTAAAAGTCCATTTTGCTGACTTTGAACATTCACTGCCCTCTCACAGAAGCAATGTGGGAATTCATTGAAGGCCTTGGTTCGTTTTTAAGCATTTCTCAGAAACCAGTGAAAGGGTGGCTCTTACGTTTCTTCGATGAGAGTTACGTGATCTTGGAGAGCATTTGCTGTCTTAATGAACATCATCTGTATTCACACATGGTGGGGCTTATACATTTGATCTATAGTGGATTCCCTTGGTTTTTGTGCTAAGATCAGTTCATTGCAACATGGGCCTTCCAAGGCTGCTGGATGTACTTTGAAGTTAGGCCTTATTTTTTTCTGTTAAGACTTCCCACGTGTACATCACAAACCTCCTTATCCTCTTGAGTACCGTTGTGCACTCCACCTGGGAGCCCCAGGAGCCCTCTTGGTTAGAGACCGACAACTGCGTTTTTTTTTTTTTCTTCCTTTCGGACATGAATTATTCAGGACAGGACAGTTTGGAGAAAGCTGTCTTTTCCAATGATGCCCTGAGTGCAAACAAATAATTTATTTTGCTTTGTATTGTCACATTTTTGACTTTAGTTAGTACACCCTGAACTAGTTGCCAGCCAATCTCAGGGCACACACAGGCAAACAACCATTTCCAATCGCATTTAGAGACAATTTAGAGTGTTCCATTAACCTGCCATGCATGTTTTTTGGGATATGGGAGGACACCAGAGTACCCGGATAAAACCCATTCTGGCGGGCGGAGAACATCCAAACGCCACACAGGAAGGCCGGAGCCGGAAACGAACCCTGCACCTCTGCACTGTGAGGCAGATGTGCCAACCAGTGGCCCACCATGGCGCCCACAAACAAACAAACAAACAAAATCAGCTTCTATTTGAAACTTTAACATATATTACCGCACTTCAGCAAAAAGTAATGGGGATGTTTTAGTCAACAGCAGATTGGAGCAGGTGTCTAAAAAGTGGTCTTTTGTGATGATAAGGAAAACTTTTACAGGTGTACTGTATTACAGTGGATGTCAAGAACAATTCTAATTTAAAATATAATAACACGGGCTCTTCTGGAAGAATGCCGCAAAACAGCAAGAGGCAAGGCTCTTTGGGCTGAGCAAAGAATTTGTGTAGCTCCTGGAATATAAACCCGGACACACAAAAATGCCAAGCGAGCATATTTATACTGGAATACAAAGCACAGGAAAACCACAGGCTCCACTGAGCTGTCACACTACTTTCCCCATTAGTTAAGTTTCATTGATTGATTGATAATGTCTTGTATCCTTATTTTCTGCACTGAGGTCCATTTGTCAGCTACTACCTAAGAAAGACTTTTTTTCCTGTGTGTAATCAGTCTCTGGATACTTTGTGTGTAGTTAAAATCCTTTATTCTTAATCACTGGTGGTTGTAGACAGTTTTGCTTGGGGTGGTAAGGGCATGGCAAGAGGTTTAGTTAGAAGGGTGGAGGTTATAACCCCCCTGTCTCCTGTTCCACGCCCCCCCCCCCCCCCCCCCCCCCCCCCTGCACACGAACGCACGCACACACATACGCAAACAACCACGTTTCTAACTCAGATTTCATCTTCTGCATTCCCTGGCGCGTTTTATGTCGGTCATGTGACTAAAGGGGTGTTCACACGGCAACTTTTACTCCAGTGTAGCACCGGTGCTACCCCCCATAGAGCGTCCACACGTACAAAGTTATACCAGTGTAGCCCCTGAAAACAGCTTAAAATTTAACCCTGCTCAGGAGGTGGTTTAAAAATTTACTCCGGAGTAAATGCTCGTTTGCGTGGCAACACCGATATAAAATTGCACGTGTGAACGCTACAGGGGTAGACTCGCAACGCATGAGAAGAGTACATACGGGTACTTGCAAACTTGCATCCTGGGTATTTTGCACTTTTTTAACAACAATTTTTATTGAACAAGTCAAATTACAAATCACAGAGAACTAAACGAACAAGTTGTTAATACACATACAATATAAAGAGAGAAACAAAAAGAAGACCCAGGGGATTTCAAACGAAAATTCCAAATAAGGAGCATAAAGGCTATTTTGCGCTTCATGTTGTTTTCTCTGCATTTGGCGACGCCATGGCGACTGCCCACATTGCCATGAACGACACAGTATCGTCGATTTGTTGCCGAATAAATCGTAGGATGCGTTGCTTTTGTACTCTTTTGTAGTTCAGCCATCTTTCCTTTCTCTCTCTCATCATACGGTGTCTGATAGACCACATCGTTGATTTCTCTGGAGAAGTATGAACCATGATATCTCACAAACAAGGCGGGGAAAAGGAAGTACACTTAACGCATGTGCATGTTTTATTTCCGTATTACTATCGTATTGCACGGCCACAGAAACTGCAGTGTGAACGTGTGAATGCTCCACAAATTTACACCGGTGTAAGATATATCGCAACAAAATCCATCGGTGCAGCACCGATGCAAATGTGTGCCGTGTGAACACCCCTTTAACATAGCTTAATGTTAAGCACCTATCCAGTCCATGTAGGCTATGCAAGGATAATTCTCACCCAAGGTTGCCACTAATGATTATTTTTCTAGTCGACGAGTCACTGATCTCAGAAGAATTGAGGCTGTAAGCAACAGGTGTCACACTCCGGGTCCTCAAAGGCCGTTATCATGGATATTTTCCATCTTTCCCTGCTGCGACACACCAGATTCAAATTATCAGGATCATTACCAGGGTCCTGCAGAGCTTTCTGATGAGCTGATCATTTGAATCAGGTATGTTGCAGCAAGGAGAGATGGAGAAATGGACACCCGTGGCTTCCAGCCAGAATTCTTTAATGTAAAAGCGCTGTATAAATAAAGATGCATTGTGTATTAAATTGTGGATATCAACTCAAAATAAAGACAAGGAAGATGATAATACATTCAGCCTTGTAGCTTCTATTCGCGTGATACTGTGGCCTCAATATTTTTAAATGTAATTGTTAGGTGCATTTTAAAATAGAACCAAAAACTACTGTATAAACTAGGCAGACTTGCACTCTGAATAATATAAAAGTATCTATAAGCCCAAAAATAAATGCATGGAAACATATCTCATTCTTCTGTTTTTTTGTTTTGTTTTGTTTTTTAATGTAGGAGACGTTGATAGATGTATTTCAATGAACATATTAATGTATTTCAATGCACATATTATTTAATCCAACGCCCGAAAAACTTTAAGGGATTTTTCTTTTAGCCACTCAAGTCGAAGATTCACCTCTTTTCGTCTTCTTACGTGATGTGTGAGTTTCTCATTTGTTCGGCTAAGATAATTTCTGACTGGTTGAGCTCCATGTGTATTGGAGGGAGATTAATGGTTGCGGATAGTATCAGACCAAGATTAAAAAATCACTTTCAAGGTACACTTTGCAAGAAAAAAAATGACTTAGTGAGGTTAGTTCAACCAACACTGCTTTGCTGGGTGGCTTGTTTCAAGAAGTTTTTTTTTGGGGTGGGCGAGTAATATGTATGAATGGAAGAGTGAGCATACACAGAAGCTCCCACTTCTTCATTAGCATCTGTGGTGAATATGATGTAATTAATTTTATTAAAGTTTTTATCTTGATAAAAATTGATTGTGAAGTACTAAATTCTACTGTTGAGGTTTGGGGTTGTTCAGGTGATGTATTGGTAGATAAAGGTAACTTTTGGTGTATCCTCAAATACGTGAAATGCTCTTCTTGAATGCCATACATCAGCATCTTTTGTATCGATATGTGCGGGTGAGAGTGCTTCAACGGGAGATGATTATAGACAATTGTCCGTGAATCTGCAAGGTTGATTTTAGTAACAGTTTCGTAACATGCTCCACAGTGTGAACAAAGACATTGTTTGATAGTGTTTTTGTTTTTTTATTTTAAGATGTGGATTAGGTCACTAAATACTCACTGATGGCCTCGGTCCCAAACTCACCGCCCAACACTGTTAAATGTGGCGTGGATGGCTGACACCTTCTCTGTCAAAATTTGGTCAGGTTAATTTTATTTATTTTTTTTTCAGAATTGGTACTGTTGGTCAGTCCCTATCTAGGGTGTATATTTTTCTCCTTTTTTCCAAATGTATCAATATTATGTGTAATTAGAAATGGCCTTGCCGTCTTTGACAAAACTACGTGAATGTTATTTTATTTTTTTTTTTTGTTTTGTTTTGATTTTCTCGAAAATGATGCTTTTGGAGATGAAAAGTTTCCATCCGATGCCAATGACATGCTGATTTTTTAATTATTACATATATTTTCTTTAAAGTACAATAGTGTAATGAAGGTGAATAAAATTTCTTAGAAATTTCCCTCTTGTCCTTTTAAAACATGATAGTCAGTTCTACATACGATAATTCACTGCAGATTGGTCATACACCGTCGTACATAGTATTGTATACTGAACTGCATGATGATTTTTTGTTTTGTTATGTTTTTTTTTAAATATGATGGTCACCACATATCCATTTTCAGTATACGGTGGTGGACAGCATCATGATTTTATCCAATATATGACATTACTGACCACCTGCTTTCTCTGCATCTGTTCAGGCTTTGCAGTGAATTTGATATGTCGACCCTGCGCTTTGGACAACACCTTATCAAGGCCTCTGCCGTGTTCTTGCAGACAGAATTGTCCTTTGCTCTTGTCAACAGGAAGCCTGTGGTGCCTGGACGTATCCTTAACCACGAGGTGTGAGGTAGGCCTGCTACAAAAGAATAACTGCTCTAAAACCTCGCACATCATGTCAAGTTAAATTGTTGATACATGAAACATGTATCTATAGTCACAGCAGAGTACTGATACAAAGTGTCACAAAGAAACAATGGGTTTTACACCATTTGGCTGAGAAGAATCATTTGTTTTATACAAAATATAAATGTTTGGACTACTTTTAGTCTTCATTCAGTGAGCATCTGCATTTTCAGGTGGAGGCATTGACCATCCACCTGGCTTACAGTCTGGGTGCTCAGTGTCAGATATTTCCGATTTAGAGTTCAATCCCGTCACTTCTTTTTTAGATACAATGTGTCGGACCATTTCTGTTTTATACTTAGCAGCCAGCCATGAAACCTTGGATAATAGTCGATGGGCTTTGCTCTTAAGCAAGAGAATGATTTGAATGCCAAACAGTCAAGCATTGATCAACATGTACTATTGGTACTCGATACAAATAGGAGCAGGCATGCACGCAGAGAAAAATATGCAGTGTCTTTCGTGCTCTTCTCGCTACAAACTTTCAAACAGATACACATATAGATAGAAACCACACACCGGCACACAATAACGTTGGCGAATTGAATTTGATACCTGATAACCGTCATTGTCACACAATAGTCATGATTGACACACTCCTACACACACAGTAAATATAGAGAAAAATATAAGCTGTCTGTAAATTTGGCGATTGTGTTGATACACGTTCATAACATCGTATACTCTTTACACAATAATCACGATTGATCTACAGACTTATTTTTATGTCCAAATTGAAATTAATATTTCACTGTGTTGGTTTTTGAAAGTAAAATAGTGTCACCTCTTACAAACAGTAAACAGTCCTGGTCGACTATAAATATACATTCCTGAAAGTCACAGTTGACAAGAATAAAAGGTTTTCATCCAATTACATGTGAAATGAATGTGGGTCATTTTCGAACCACTTATGGATGTTTTGGGTAGTTAAACAAAAAGTAAAATATTGTAAAATGCATAAAAGTTCACTAAATTAATCAGGCAGGAATGTCAAAAATATGTTTTTTTTTTGTTTTTTTGAGTAATGCCTAGAATATTAAATTACGATTTTTTTTTTAATTTCCATAATATTATAAGAATATCACCTCTGAGTCATTTTTGACACCTTGTGCATCAAAGGGTTACAGTAATCAGTAATTCAGTATTTCCCAGCCTTTATTGAGCCAAGGCAAATATTTCACATCGAAAAAAAAAAGTCACGTTACACCACACATCAAAACGATCAAAAAAAGTGGATAAACTGGTTAATTATGTACCTTCTGTCATCGAGTGGAAGAGCATGTCATACTTCTTCCTGTTCCTTGATGTTTTTGGTGTAAATCAATGAACAAAACTTTAAAATAGAAAATAAACATATTTTTTGTCCACATAATTGATGTTGGATAATTTCCCGCCGCGCACCTGACGAGCTCTAAAGGCACACTGGTTAGGAATCACGACACTAGTTGACTTACTGCAGACTCATGATGTCTCTTCCTAATGTAAGAATGTAAGCTTCTACACATGCAAAAGCAACCATTTCTAGACTGGATGTCAAGATAACAACTACAAATCAATTGGATTCTTCACAAAACCCTCATATTTGTAGTGCTGTAGTGATGCTAAAGGCTATACTGTTCGCTCTTTCTCTCAAGTCATTCGCTCTCTCTCTCTCTCTCTCTCTCTCGCACGAACACACACACACACACACACACACACACACACACACACACACACACACACACACGCACACACACACACACACTCATTTCATCCTTTGTCTTGTCTAAATGTGGTTATTTGACATTTATGGTTTCGTAATTGGTTTTGGAGAGATGTATGTGAATGATGTGGACACATAGTGACACAATTTTATACAGTAACCTTAATTGGTTAAGAACATTCTCGTTCTAATGACGAAATAAATTATTTCAAATGCATGAGATTTGTCTTCATCCCAAAGGGTTGATTAATGTTCCACTTTCAGGCCCAGTTCTCTGCTGGTGATGTCAATGTAGACCCTAATCTCATTTTAACATGAAATATACAGTGGAACCTCAGTTCACTAACTTAATTTGTTCAAAGACTCCGCTCCCATGTTGAAACATGTATGAGAGCAGAAACAATGTTTCCCATTAAAATGAATGCTTCACAAATCTACCTTTCGATCTCCCATTGAGTTTTTCGCCTCACTTGTAAGAAAGACTCCAAGGTAGTTCAGCTCCTCTAACTGGGGCAGTATTTTAGCCCCAAACCAGATGAGACACTTCATGAGGATCAGAATAAAGCCTTAGATTAGGAGATACGATTCTCCTCCCAACCACTGCACACCTAAACTGTGTACCATTCCATTGAGAGCTGAAGATTGTGGCTTGATGTAGCCAACAGAACAAGATCTTCTGCAAATTAGAGATGCAAGACTGAGGCCATCAAACTGGACAACTTCAAAACCTTCCAACCATCATTGAAACAGAATTGGATTTACTTCTGGCAATGCAAACTAAGATATGAGACCACACTGTGAGACTAGTCATACAGTGCCCTATACTCCCAGAGCCCCCTGAACTTGATTCCCTTGGGGATGCGGTTGAGAGCCTATTCCAAATCCACAGGCACATGCAGACCGATTGGGCATACATTCACGTAATCCACGGCCAGACCCAACAGACCCTCCTCTCCAGAACCCCCGAATAGACCTCACCGGGGACGCTGAGGAGTGAATTGTCTTCCTCAAAGCTGTCTCCATATCTTCACTGAACTCCTCTCTCCCCATCAAAGATTTTACCTCAGTGACCACTAAAGCTATGTGAAGCTTGGCCTGTCAGTACACATCAACTGCCTTTAGAGTCTAACTGACCCCCCAAAATCCTGATAGGACTCGTTCTTTAGGTTGATGTCATTCCTCACCATTGGTGTCCATCAAGTAATTCAGGTGACTGTTGACACTCTATCCAACCGGAGAGTCTCCAAGCAGTTTGCCAGGGTGACCAGCCTCCTCCACCATCCTCCATCAGTGCCAACGCAGTGCCAGATGGCTTTCACTTGACAGCTCTGCACCTCTCTGCACCTAAGTGTTCAAGATATGTTATTAGAGGTCCAATGTCACGACCCTAAAGTCAACCATTGAGTTTCGAACTCAAGTGTCCTTGACTACAGTATTTTACATGGACAATACTCGATGAGCACAGAAGTCCAATAAGAAGTCTTCAGCATCTCCTCCAAGAACTCCAAAAATGGTGCATTCTCCAAGATGTTGTTTGGAACATAGGCACAAACACGCATCAGGACCCATCACACCACTCAAAGGCAGTGGAAGGCTTCCCTTGTGTCCACTGGGTTCAGCCGCAACGTACAGGCACCGACCCAGGGGACTAAGCATGTCCACACCGGCTTGGGACAGCTCCAGAGTAGAACAGAGTCCAACCCCTCAAGAGGACTGGTACCGGAGAACAAACTGTATGTCGAGGTGAGCCTGACAATATCGATACAGGACCTTTCAACCTCGCACACCAGCCAAAGTTCCTTCCCTATCACAGAGATGACATTCTACTTCCCTAGAGCTAGCTTAATATACTGAGGATCAAACTGCAAAGCCCCACCCGCAGCTTCTACTACCGCCCACCTCACAATACCAGGTGTATTGTGTATCCCTTGGCCCCTGCCACAAGTAGTGCGCCAAGGGGAAGTGGAACCTTGCCTCTGCCAGCTGTGCTGTCCCCATGGGTGAAGGTGCAGGCCTGTCATTGACTCGCTTCCAGGCCCGGTTCCAGAAAAGACAATGTTGACCAGCATCTAGGCAAGGGAAAACAGCTTTCAATGGTGTTGTTCCCCATAGGAGGTTTGTCTGGTCCCTCACGTAGGACCTTTTTGCCCTGGGTGACCCGACCAGATAATAAAAGCCCCTGACAACTTAGTTTCAAGGATAAATGGGAGAGACAAACCCCTCCGCCGTGTCAATGAGATGGCTTTAGAACGTTATTGCTGTTGCTGTTTTTCTTATGGTATAGATGGTGGATTTTGACAAACAAAACTTAAACATTCTGAATTTTACCTACTATTTCCCATTTTAAAGTAGTAATAGTAATACGATTAGACTTCACACCCTCATACTATTGCAAGCGGTTAGGAGTTTCAGTTCAGCACCAAATACATTGGGTTCATATTGATGCCGTAACTGTGTTGGGAATCGACTGCTGTCCGTTTCTTTCTGACTTGCTGCTCATAATGGTACATAGTTAACAAAAGCTCCCTGCTGTTGCCTGGCACCATGTCTTTGCTGACATGAAATCACTATAAAGAATGTGTGTTGACCTTTCATGCTGTACCTATTCACCTCATATGATTAGACATGGCTATAGTCTGTAGGCCAGGAATAAGATGGAATGCATGCAAGTGTATATTTATTTCCTTGCTGGTTTCCTGGTTGCAACCCAGCAGCAGTGGCAACGTGACCACTTTCTCTCCTGTCAAAACTCCAGGTAATGCATGTTAGTGCCGTTTTGACATTATTGTAGAACCTGCTGCATGGTGAGAGAGTCTGACTGGCTCAGAGGCTGGCAGCACTATAATGACACATCCTAGATCCGAATGAATGAAATATTCTTCTTCAATTGTTCTTTACATAGTTGAATGTGCTGACAATAGAATCACACAAAAATTCTCAATGGAAATCAAATTTATTAACACAGAAATTAGTAGGCTTACAATATGTTCGTTTTATATCTTTTGCTGTGGCTCAACATTAAATTCACCGTATCAAATTTGATGGTCAAGTCACAGACTTCCCCCAAAAGTGTCATGCCGCTCTTTCATAGATGTGGGAATTGCATTAAAATGGACAAAACAAACGGCTCAGCACCCCGAAACCTCTGATCCTAGAATTTATTTTATTTTATTTTTTGTGGTTTCGAAAGTAATAGAGGACAAGACACAAAATTCAAC